AAGAAAGAGATAACAATGAAATTAACCTTTGAAAATGTGTGCGACTCAAATGTGTAAAATAATAAAAAATTAATGATTTGATCAAGGAGATGCTGACTTGAGTACAATTGTGTTAGAATGAATTATATATTTGTGTGCAAGCATTTATGCGTAAGCATATGTCTTTCTGCATAAGAATGTATATACATGTGTGTTGGCATATATTTATGTGTGGCTTACAGCCAAATCTCATGGTTCCTGTATGATCACTGTTATATACCATACATATGAACACTAATAGTTATGCCCCAATCTTCATAAATATGTTGGACACTATTTTAAGTGGGGGTAATATGCTGTCTAAGTAGTGCAGCACTAGCAGTGGTTTACCTACTTCACGTCGCTGGCGAGTATTGCATTTTGTTGATGTTATAAACATTACCATTTCATTTCCAAATTCCGTTTTGGTTACTCCTCATTCAGTAACCTTTCCTAGGTTACAACAATCACCAAAGTTAAGCAATTTCAAATCTGGTCAGTACTTGGGTGACTGTTTGAGAATACCAGGTTCTGTAAGCTTGGATATATATAGGTTGTGTAATGGATAATAGCTAGAAATTGTTAACTGGAAAACTGAGTCTCAATTCCTGTTGGGTTCGTTATATTCAATAATACATAGGAAAAGTATGAATACACCTCTTCTCCCCCCCAGCTATGGATTAATTAGTAAGACTTATTATTATCTTCTGAACAAAAATATTTTATATATATATATATATATATATATATGTATATATATATATATATATATATATATATATTTATATATATATATATATATATATATATATATATATATATATATATATATATATATATATATATATATATATATATATATATATATATATATATATATATATATATATATATATATATATATATATATATATATATATATATATATATATATATATATATATATATATATATATATATATATATATATATATATATATATATATATACAATATATATATATAAATATATATATATATATATATATATATATATATATATATATATATATACACACCACCACCAATCAAAAGTTTTTGACTACATTTATTTTTTCCTCTAAACTTAAAGGATGAGTCAAGTTTCATGACTTTAAGGAAATAAGTTTATTTTTTCTGTTTGCATGCAATCATGCAATAATCTAAATCAAAATGAATATAAAATAATTATAATTTCAATTAAAGCAAATTTATATTTTCTTTTCATCAATAAATCCACCACAAGCATTTATTACTGCTGGGCAAATTTTTGACATCCTTTCTAGTAACTTGTAAAGGTATGTTGATGGAAGTGATACCTGTTCAGTGTTTGAATGTGTAAACAACTCTTACTTATTCTTAGGCTGTTCACTTCGAACTTTACAGTCATTTTTGTCCTGGGACTAGTTCACTTGGTTGAATATCTGCAGACTGAGGGACCAAGTCATGACTTTCAAAGTTCCCTTATCTTCCTTTGATTTTAAAGAATTTGTACACAGTGGAGTAATGGATAGCAGCTTGGATTGAGGAATCGGAAAGCTGAGTTCAAATTCCAGTTTGAATCCATTACATAGACTTATGTGCTAATACCCTTGGGAAAAGTATAAATCCTCTTCTTAACCCCCCAGCTATGGGTAAATAGCAGGACAGATCGGGTTCTATAGCTTTGTGTGGCAAATGGTCTACCACAGAAAGAAATTGCAACCTACTGCGGAAAAAAAAATCTGCCTCATCAGTCATGTATCAAAAGATACATGATCTCCTAAGCGTGTATCACGTATGACACAAAACCGACTGACACAGTCTTGACCTTGTTTTGGATGTTTATCTTGTTGCAAAACAAAATATATATTAATGTGGCAGCCAGAAGGAATTTTTATGAATTTTTTATGATCTTAGAGAAACAATTCAGGGTGAGCCCAAACTTTTGATCAGTATTATATATATATATATATATATATATATATATATATATATATATATATATAGATAGATAGATAGATAGATAAACCTGGGAAAGCTGGCTTTCCTGACGATCTGTTTAGGTGAAACCTGGGTAGGTTTGTCTGGCTCACTAGGTGTCTGCCCTACGGTTGTATTGAGCTCTTTTTGTTAGCTAGTTGTTTTCTTTTTGTTTTTGGGTTTTTTTTCTTTGGGCTTCAAACCTGTATCTGTGTGACTTTTTTTTTCGACAGACTTTCATGTTTCTAGCTCTTTCTTTTTCAGACCTTTTTTCCTTCAAGATTGATTTGATTATTGGCAAATCAAAAATTCGAATTTTTTTCGAAACAGTATAGTTATCTATATTTATATATATATATATATATATATATATATATTTATACGTTTCATTAAATAATATAGACAAGTGTTGTCTATTTATTTTTATGTAAAATTTTTCGTATCTTCTGATAAGTTTGGTAACATTATCATTTACCGAAAAAAGAAATTCACAATATTTATCCATTATTTTTTTAATAAAATCTAAGCTTTCGGCTTACTTGAAGCCATTATCAAAGATGTAAATACAAACATATCAAACAATATATGGACACGACAGTGATGATATAGTCTGTCATTGTTATGTTTACATAGTGGATCACTAAGCAACGATGAACACGCGCATATTAGAAGCGAAAATCGCACCGCATCTCATGACGTATACACACATGACTACATAACAATGACAGACTATATCATCACTGTTGTCCATATATTGTTTGATATGTTTGTATTTAATCTTTGATAAGAGTAAGCCATTTGATTTTATTAAAAAATAATGGATAAATATTGTGAATTGTTTCGGTAAATGATAATGTTATAAAACTTATTAAGAATGAAAAATTTACATAAAATAAATAGACAAGTCATGTCTATATTATTTAATGAAACGTGTATAAATGAAAATATGCTGCCTAAAAATACACAATATATATATATATATATATATATATATATATATAATTATTATAAGTAAAAAGTTTATTACTTAGCTGATTGATGTTACCTTCAGTATCCAAACTCCAGACTTTTGTAGACGGACCCATCTGTCCACTCTTCAGGGGATATCACTAATTGACTAATTATATTTCTTGATTTTTTCTTTTTTGTGCACTTATCATAATTATATTATATAATTATTATATTATATTATAATTATATAATATCATATGCAAGTATATCTGTATGTATCTATGCATTATTATTATTATTATATCAAATGTTATTTTTAGTGAATAATAAAGTGGGATACATTCAAAAACTGCCACTTAAAATAAAAAAAACAACAGATACAAATATTTAAGTAAATGCTCTGTTTTATAATAAACAGTATTTATAACATTTACTGGCCTGAATGTCTGAGAAATTTTCATAAAAAATATACATCCTCCGACAGGAATCAAACCTGTATCATATACGGAACCATCATTTAGCCTGATGTGCACTTAATTGATTGAGCTACAGAGGATCGTTCGATTAGCAAGGTCAAATTTACTGCCTTTAAACTTCAATCTTCCATGAATCTCTCACGTAGATTCATATCTGCTCAAAGCGTATCCAAATGTAAACAAATGACATCACACATTATGAAATGGACAAAGTCCGACAATTATTTTAAGACATTTTTATATTTATACATTCTTTTTATAGATACAAATATTTAAGTAAATGCTCTGTTTATAATAAACAGTATTAAACAACATTTACTGGCCTGAATGTCCGAGAAATTTTCATAGAAAATATTCATCCTCCGACAGGAATTGAACCTGTATCCTATGCAGGACCGTCATATAGCCTGACATGCCCTAACCGATTGAGACATGGAGGATCGTTCGATTAGCAAGGTCAATTTTACTGCTTTAAAACAAAATACAGAATAAAGCAAAGTAAATATAAAAAATAAAATATATAATTACAATAAAAATTAAATAATTCAAATTAAAATAAAATAAAATAAATAATAAATAAAATCAATAAATCAATCACCTTATATTACAATAATTATATCATTAATGTTGATATTTACTGAGCTTGTATCTTCTATATAAATACTTTTATACCAGGATAATTAAATACGGTCATGAATTTAGCATAAAACTGGCTTGATGGTTGCTCCGATTCAATAATGTAAAATAATTAAATAAAATAAATGTATAATTAACTCAGTAATTCACAATAAACAAGTAAATAATTGGTAATTTTGAACACAGAGAATCTGTGAGTTCAAATTTCCCCCTCCTTGAAACAGAAACAGAAACACCATTTCTGTGGCATTCTGACAGTAATGAAGTCATCTCCGTACACAGCACGAATGTCTTGAGCAGCTTTGTAAACTTGATTAAAAGCTTATACTTATCTCTTTGACATTCCATTTGAAAGAGGATAGACATCGTTTGAAAAGGAAAAAAATCTTAAATAAAATTTCACTAACATTAGACAATGTTTTCACAAAATGACTTGAGTTACTAAATAGCAAAAAATGCTATAAAAAATTATTCTTTGTGATCATCTGTATAACATAAAAAGATGAATATATTTAATAAGCTAATATATATATATATATACATTTTGTATATTTTTAATTTCACTAATACTACCCTAATTAAAATAGACTTTATGAATTTAAGTGCAGTACTAGATTGGTGGCAAGGTCTCATCATTTTACACTTGAAATGGCTAGATGTAACCGTAAGTTCTATGCTAACAGTTTCTTCTCTCACATAAGATTCACTTATTGGCATCTCGGCTTCAGTCACTTTCCTACCACCATGAAATGATTTAAAAAAAATCTTTTTCTAGATTTTTCATGCATAATTTCACCCATATTGTTGATTTCATTTAGAAAAATATTATACTGCCTCTGTCCCATAATAATTGTTACATTTGCACACACATTTTATACACTAAGTTTATCACCTATTATGGGACAGATGTAGTATTTTTTTTTACTAATGTTTTTTTCAGATATTTCATGCCTGTTTTGTAAATATAATTTCTTACTTTTTCTTTACGTTTTTCCTTTCTACCTCTTTTCATTTTTCTTCTTCCTCTTTTTTTTATATTTCCTTTTGTTTCTTTCAGTTTCTTTTTTTCTTTAAATCAGCCTCTCTCTTTTTTTTTTTTCATTTTTTTTTAACTTTCATCAACTTCCTTTATTTCTTTCTTATTTTCTCTCTGTTTCTTTATCTTTTCTTTCTGGACTCCTTGGTGCACAGCAATGGTTCTCAAAAGGTGCACCTGCGCCCAATGGTATGCTCTGAAATGTACCCTAGCATTCCAGAGAAATATATGCCCAGATATAATAAATAAATATATTTATTATATTGTATTACTCGTCTCGTTCATATTTATGTGAATTAGGCTTTTCTGCTCTCATCAGAATTAAGTGGAACTCTTCAATGTATTGACAAGGAAATGAGAGTTTGCCTATCAAATATAAACCCAAACATTGAAGAAATCACTAAGACTCACCAGGCTCATGTTTCTCATAAACACAAGAATGAATAAACTTAAACTATATTTCATTTTATATTTTTAATTGTATTATTTCTTTTCTGAAATATTTGACTTCATTATCATATATTTTTCTGAAATTTGTATATAGTGCACCTACAATTATTGGTAGGATTTCAAGTGCGCCCTGACTTCAAAAAGTTTGAGAAATACTGTTGCAGAGTAATAGCAAGCAAGACGAGTAATGTGACCATTGTTATCAAGTAGTGACTTCAATACTCATTGTAGGCACACTACAAAATTCAGCATTAAATAAACCAACAAGGCTTGACATGTCTTAAAATCAACCAACCTAACAGAATGGGATAATTGTTAGTGAGTATAATTCTCACTGGGGGCCTTATACCAAAATTTAGCATTAAATAATCGAACAAGACTTGACATGTTGTAAAATCAACCAACCTAATTGGTTAGTGAAGTTTGTCAGATTGTTCATTACTACTGAATAGTGAGTTTGATCCTCACTGGGTGCCCTTTATAAACATCAATTTTAAACCCAAAAAAAAATCTTGACATGTCTTAAATTTAACTAATCTAGCTAAGCATGGAGTAATGGTTTGTGAATCTAATCTGGTTGACCATTACTAATGAATGGTGAATTTGATCTTCACTGGGTGCTTTTTACAAACTTCCACATTAAATAACCCAAAAAACAGGTTTTAGAATCAACTCATTTAGCTAAGCAAGGGGTAATGGTTTGCAAGTTTAATCTGGTTGAGCATTACTATTAAATGTAGTTTGATCCTCACTAGGTGTCACGGATAAAATTTGACATTAAATAACCTAGCAAATGTTGACATGTCATAAAATCAACCAACTTAACTCAGCATGGGTAATGGTTAACAAACCTAGTCTGATAGTCCATTACTACAGATTAGTGAGTTAAATCCTCACTAGGTGCTCTTTACAAATTTCAACATTAAATCATTCAGCAAAGGATGTCATGTTATTAAATCAGCTAACCTAATTTTCATATGATTATACAAGGAAACTGCTTCAAAGGAGATGGTGGAAACTAGTCATTAGGTTTTTTCCAGGGTCTAAATCTTCAGACTTTTGTGTATCACCTTGCATTAGATTTTCAACAAATTCTTTTGTTATGTTTTAACCAAATACCCTGTCCAGACTAGACGAGTGAATACAGTGACGTCTGTAGCAAGCATTTATATTGATTTATAGAAAATTGAAGTGATTCCAAACTGCCTAATTCCATTGTTTGGAACATTAAGTTTTTTTTTGTTACCATTTCTTCACTAATTCCTGTTCATGATCTCTGCTACAATAACAGCTACACTTGACTGTAAAAAGACAAATGAATTTGCAATGTACACTGGCACATGAACTGATATTTTTTGTTTTTAAGCAAAAATATTAGCAGTTGTATTATATATGGAATAAAATACATCAGTAAATATAAACCATGATTTTTAGCCAATCTTGGATCTACAAAAACCTGGGGTGTCAAAAGATTGGTTTTTCCCTTAACACTGCTATTATTTTAACTACCTTCACTCCTCAGCAATGTTTTAAAAAACGGTGAGTAGATCTAAACATATGATGAAAATGAATTTATCAATTTTTTGTTCTTGAGAATTTATGACAAAAATATTAAACACTATTTATTTATTAGATTGTTTATTTACGTTATTTATTTGCTTATGGCCACATCATCTTGAAACACCAGTACCGGTACGATCACTGAAGTTAAGCAATGTCAAGCCTGGTCAGTACCTAGATGGGTGACCACTTGAGAATACCAGGTTCTATAAGCTTGGATGTACAATTGGTTTAATAGATAATGGCTTTGAATTATTAATTAGAGAGCTCAGTTTCAATTCCAGTTGGCTTTGTTATATTCACTTAGATGCAAATACCCTTAGGAAAAGCATGAATCCATCTCTTCTCTACTTAACTATCTACATTCAGCCACTAAACAATTATTATCTCAAAAAAACAAAAAATTTCTTACAGTCTAAAATATTTTATGAATTTAAATAACCTGTAAAGGGTTGATAAATCATAAAAAATGAATCAATCAATAAAAACTATTTATTTATTAGATTGTTTATTAGAATTGTTGGCAAAACATTGACTAATCGCCAATTGATCTGAACTTTATCAGATCCTAAATAATAAGGAATTCCTTATAGTTGGGTCACATATTTTAAAATTTTAGTAAACGTTTATAAATTTATGAAATAAAAAATTATTTTCATTTGTTTCTTAATAAATTGGTAAATGATAAATATTACATTGCATTAGTTTTGATACGATTATATTACTTTTTGAATAAATGGTATTTAGTTTTTAGAATGTTTTAGATATAAAATTATTCTTGTAAATAAACAATCAAATAAATAAATAATGTTTAATATTTTTGTCACAAATTCTCAAGAACAAAAAATATATAAATTCACTTTCATCATATATTTAGGTTTTACTACAACTCACATTTTAAAACAATAAACATGGCTAAAGAGTGACGGCAGTTAAAATAATAGCAGTGTCAAAGGAAAAACCATACTTTTGACATTCTGTTTTTTGTGAGCACGAAGGTCTGAGATTGCCATTTTTTTTTATTATAAAAGTTAGACATATGCACCACATGAACTTTGAAGTCTGTATTTATAGTAATTCATTTTTATGAATTTATATTCCTTTTGTTTTAAGGTTTCACTAGAAATTTAAAATTTCATGGACTGGCATTACGGAATCACAAAGAACTGTACCAAATAACACAGACCACATTACTTGAGGATTTCAACAGCATTGTTATACTCTACTTCAAATTACTTCTCTTTCTGATTCACTCCACATCAAAATCTGTTGACTGGATGAGAACACTATGAATGTAAAATTAAAAATAAAAAAAAGTCACTCTCTGCACAGGGGCTCTGCGCATCACATCCAGCTCATAAAACAAATCACCACAAAAAATAGAAAATGCAATTTAAAAGGAGCCAATCATGAATGTTTCTGCTAAAAAAAAAGTGTGACAAAAGTTCTGAGTCATGTATCCCTCAAGACTGATTAAAAGGACCCATTCATGACACTCAACATCATCGCAGACAGGTAAGCAGGCTGTCACCAACACCACCAGTGGCCTTGGTCAACCAACCTGACACAAGCATCACTGCCAGGCCCTACTGACTCTCCCATCCTTGAGGTTGCTTCCCTCACCCATGAAGAGACTTTCAACCATGATATCAGCAAAGGCAAAGAATTTTATTTTAACATATCTTCTCTTCTTTTCATTCTGCATCACTAGATGTTCATTGTTGTTTCAATTGTTCTTGTGCTACTATACACAGTATATAATAACAGCAATAGCTAAAATGCATAGCATGTGTAACCCAAAGAAAAAATAATGACATAAGATGATGACGTTCCACACTACTTCAAAGAAAAGCTTAAGAAGGAAATCCCCATCAATACTGGTAAGAGTGATAAAAGCTAGTGGACTTGAGAAATGTATTTTCCTGAAAAATTGTTTTTAAAAGAAAGATTTTTATAAAGATCAAGCAAAACTAACACTGACTGTTCAGCCAATGAATGACAATCATTTCCACATAAGGAAATGGCTAGAATTCAAATTACCATCACTATTATTCATATACACAGTATGTGTGAAAACCTATTTTGAAAGACTTCCATTGAAGAAGAGTTCCCTGTCTTTTGATAGATGTATCAGCTTAGGGCATTTGTATACCATGTTTTATACAATGTCACTGTTTCCTAATTATTTATTTAAGGAAGGTCCCAAATGGTATGCCACTTATATAATAGCAAACTCCCACCCACATTCCCTCTGTATTCCATCAGTGAGAAGTAAGTTCCACTCAAACAGCTTCTTCTTGACTCCCAAGAGGATGTTTCCCAATCACTACAATCTTAACCTGTTGACATATAGATTTAACCATTATCTTCCCCCTCCTATCCATATAAACTACCCATTAATATAACTCTCTACCTTGAGTGGCTCCCGGGCCTTGTACTAATTAAGAAGTTTGTGTAAATGGATAACAGAACAAAAGCAAAGAGAAATGGCAAAGATAAAAAGATGCTTAAAGCCACAAAGAGAGGAAGTTGTGGAAAGCCTTGATCTTGAATTTTATTCTGAAAAGACAAATTTGGAAAGAGTGATTACCATTTCAGTAATGTCCCTTAGTAAGATAAATAAAAGTTTTTGTTCAAAACACAGTCAAATATACAAAGATCAAAGCTATGGATGCACATGACTGATGTAAATTATGTCTCTTTTGTTTGTTGTTGAATGTTTAACTAGAGTGTGTGTGTGTGTGTGTGTAATGAATATAAAATATTCAGCAAATATCGACACCTTGAAACTTAACTCTCTTTTACACTCAAAAGTGAAGAGCAGGTTTTTGAGTGCGACTGCACCTTACATAATGAACTTGCAGACAAATGACTCCACGTGATTTTTAGTCAGCATGAATAAAATTTTGCATTTCTTTTTAATATTCAAAAGGATGCTGCAAATCATTTATGCAACTCACAAACTTGAAATTCAACAAAAACTTGTCTCATTTGTTTGCTATATCAAATATGTGCAGACGACCTTAGTATATTAAGAAATAGAAAAATATCCATATAAGTACATGCATATGTATATATGACATAAGTACAGCTATTTACCCAAACATTAAAGATAAAAACAGCTTGGGAGAAATCAGAAAAATGTAAATGATTCTTTTATTTTAAAAGGTGAACAACTTCATAAAGTATAGGAATGCCTTCTCTCCAACCCTGAAAAGTAAAGCTAGTGGAAGTTACAAAAGTTATAAAAATTATTTTTAATAAAAAAAAGATAATATTAAAACTAAGAAAATGTTAGAATGTTTAAAAATTAATATAAAAATTATAAAAAATATAAAAGTTATTAAAACTGATAATATTAAATTGTGAGAAAAACTAATTAAGAAAGTTAGAATGTTACAAATACATTTTGGTTGAAAAAGAAACTGCCAAAAGGAAACCAGACAGTTTATAAAAAATATGCATGAAGAAAAATTGGTGTGCAAAAATAAAACTCTAAATTTATGTCATAAAAAACCCCCCACCAAAATGACACCAGACAGTTTAAATGTTATTTTAGTGACAAAGATTTACACAATGTAGATCAACTTGGATGTTGTAAATGGGTGTGGTTTGATTGGATAGTGATTCTCAAGTTTTTAACCAACAGGGATAAAAAGTTTATACCTCCTAAGGAGTTAGATAGGATCCAATTGGAACTACTTGTTTGCTATATAAAGGGAAAATTTTAAATTTAGGTAATAAAGATGGCTGCTGTATAAAGACTGTTGTTTCTATTGCTGAAGAAAAAGAAAAAGAAGAAAGGACTCTTAAAACCTATGAGAATTCTTTTTATGAAGAAAGTTTTTTCCTAAACCAGAAATATTTATCTCATTCAAATGTCTTTTCTAAGTATATGAGTTTACACAAATATCTTTTCTAAACATGTGGAAGTTTACCTCATATTTGAGAACACCTGAATGTGTTTTTACTACTAAATTTTTCTTAGCATGTATGAGTGTTAAAGTTCTTGTGTTAAAGTTTCTTGTTTGTAGTTGTTTTTTAAGATGAAAAGTGTTATATTCCGTGCTAATAGGAAAACAAGGTGGATAGAATAAGTAAAGGGTTATTGTAAAAACCAGTACAATAAGAATAAAGGTAAGAGTTATGCACAAGGTTGTCGCAAGTCAATCCAGTAGTGATTGCTACTATTGGAAGGTCAGTAGTTCTCACATAAGTCTGAGTTGTACTCAACAGATCCCAGCTAGTAATATTTAGCAACCTCCCCATGGGACAGGATGTGGCACAAGGACGAATTTAAAGTGGAGCAATCTGAGCCTGTAGGCCCAGCCAAAAATTTCCCATAAACTCTGCAAAAACAGGTTTGGGTCTATCTACCTCCCCGTACAAGACTCTGCCCTTTGGCATAGCCTCGTTCGGGTTCCTATCTGCCCGAAGGCAGAGAGTTCGACAACAGCTAAGAGCTAAGTAACAGGTCCCAGCTAAAATATTTAGCTCCACGCCCCCACGAGGGTTGCATGTGGCACAAGGCTGGTTTAACGTGGGTTCTATGAGCTTGTATGCTCACCCAAAAATATTCCCTTTCGAACCCATATAAACAGGTTATGGGGCAGTCTACCTCCCCGAACGAGACTCTGCCCTTTGGCGGCGCCTCATCCGGGTTCCTCTCTGCTCAGAGATAGAGAGTTCGACTGTTTAGCTGGAACAGATCCATCTAGTCTCTGTAGTCCATTGACTTACCAATACTTATAGATAGTTACTACCTATAGTGTAGTCACTCATGGGGGTGACAGGTTATTCCATTACATCAAAAAGAAATGTGATTTCTTTGCATGCATGTGTTAGAAAAAAGAGGCTGTAAGGAGTTAGAGTTGGATACATGTGACATCAGTTCATGCCAATGACTTCAAAGAGATTCCCCTACTCATTCACCAAGCTACATGACACTTACACTCTTCCCCACCAAGCTACGTGAAACTTACACTCATCCTCACTGAGTTATATGACATTTACACTTTCCTCCTCAATTTCTCCCTTACTTATTTTTTCTCACACATGCACATGAAGAAATTCCATTTCTTTTCATCTTAATAAACAACTATAAACAAGGAACTTCAGCATGAGAATTTTAATCCTCATACACACTAAGAAAAATTTAGTTGTAAAAACACAGAAATGAAAATATTTTATATTTTTATATTTAAA